TAATAATAATAATAATAAATTTTATTTATATCCCGCCCTCCCCAGCCGAAGCCGGGCTCAGGGCGGCTAACAACAATAAAACAGTACAAAAGTACAGCACAAACAACATTCTAAAATCATTCATTATAAAATTAATTAAATTCAAGCCACTGGCCACCATTGGGCCAGAGCTCCGTGAAGATTGCCGAGGGAGGGAGTCAGGCTGTGCCCTGGCCAAAGACCTGGTGGAACAGCTCTGTCTTGCAGGCCCTGCGGAAAGATGTCAAGTCCCGCAGGGCCCTGGTCTCTTGTGACAGAGTGTTCCACCAGGTCGGAGCCACAGCCGAAAAAGCCCTGGCTCTAGTTGAGGCCAGCCTAACTTCTCTGTGGTCTGGGACCTTCAAGATGTTTTTATTTGAAAACCGTAAGTTTCTCTGTGGGGCATACCAGGAGAGGCGGTCCTGTAGGTACGAGGGTCCTAGGCCATATAGGGCTTTAAAGGTTAAAACCAGCACCTTAAACCTGATCCTGTACTCCACCGGGAGCCAGTGCAGCTGGTATAGTACCGGAAGAATGTGATCTCGCAGCGAAGACCCCATAAGGAGTCTCGCCGTGGCATTCTGCACCCGCTGGAGTTTCTGAGTCAGTCTCAAGGGCAGACCCACGTACAGCGAGTTACAATAATCCAGTCTGGAGGTGACCGTCGTGTGGATCACAGTGGCTAGGTCAGGGCGAGAGAGGTAAGGAGCCAACTGCTTAGCTTGGCGGAGATGGAAAAATGCCGCCTTTGTTATAGCTGCAATCTGCACCTCCATGGAAAGGGAGGTGTCGAAGATTACACCCAAACTCTTAACGGACAGTGCTGGCACTAATTGCGCCCCCGCAAGAGATGGGAGTTGCCCCCCCAATCCCATATCGTCCCGTCCCAGCCACAGGACCTCTGTCTTCGAAGGATTTAGCTTCAACCGACTCCCACGTAACCATCCAGCCACAGCTTCCAAACATCTGGTCAGTGTATCTGGGGCCGAGTCAGGATGGCCACCCATCAACAGATAGAGTTGGGTGTCATCAGCATACTGATGGCAACCCAGCCCAAAGCTCCGGACAAGCTGGGCGAGGGGGCCCATAAAGATGTTGAAAAGCATCGGGGAGAGTATCGTACCCTGAGGTACTCCACACACCAAGGAGTGGCGCGATGACAATTCCCCCCCAAGCGCCACCCTCTGTCCCCGACCAGAGAGAAACGAGCGCAGCCATTGAAGGACTATGCCCTGGATCCCCACATCGGCAAGGCGGTGGTCCAGAAGCTCATGATCGACCATGTCGAAAGCTGTTGACAGATCTAGAAGAATCAGCAGCCCCGACACAGGCTCCCAGGTGGGGAAAAAAGATTCTCCAGCCTCTACAATGGTACCTTGGTTCTCAAACGCCTTGGTACTCCAACAACTTGGAACCCAAACACCGCAAACCCGGAAGTAAGTGTTCCAGTTTGCAAACTTTTTGGGAAGCCGGATGTGCTCTGTTTTGAGTGCCTTGATTCAATTTTGAGTGTTACGCTTCTCTTTTGAGTGGTACGCTGAGGCCTGTCTGTGTTTGCTATTTATTTTGCATTATTGTTTTTGCGGCTCCTTTTGTTTTGTTTTTGTGACTGTGTGGAACCCAGTTCAGCTACTGATTGAATGATTGTGTGGTTGCAGTACATTGTTTATTGCTTTCATTTTATGGATCAATGGTCTCATTAGATGGTAAAATTGATGTTTAATTGCTGTTTTAGGGGTTGTTTTCAGAAGTCTGGGACGGATTAATGCCTTTTGCAATACTTTCTATGGGAAAGCGCACCTTGTTTTGGAATGCTTTGGTTTGGGAACAGACCTCCGGAATGGGTTAAGTTTGAGAACCAAGGTACCAATGTATATTAATCCTGAGGGTAATGCCCATTCACCTCCCCTTAACAAGGCTTTGGGATTTTGCTTGTAGGCCGGTCTATTTTGATATTTGCAAGGAAGCATTTCCCCCCCTCTCCCTCTCAGGACTCAGTTTCACTGAAGAGGAATGGGCTCTGCTGGGTCCTGACCAGAGAGCCCTGCACAGCCAAATTATGAAGGAGATTTGCAGGATCGTGTCCTCTCTCGGTAAGGTTCCCTTTTACTCTGCTTGATGATAATATATTTTCAGAAATGCAAGTAAATTAATCAGCAATACTCAACGGGTTTAACGACTGCGTGTCAGCATCACAATTCTTATTCTTTTGGTCCAGCGAGATTTATCTATTTGTGTATATCTTCTGTGTATCTCTTTCTATAGCTCTGCTTCTGTTTATCTACCGTTTTCCCATTTAACAAAAATCCACAGGAGGATTAACCCTGGTCAGATGCCAGTAGAAAAAGTAAAAATTATTATCACATTATTTGTAACAATGATTTATTGATTTCCTTAAATATGATTGCCTTCTATGGTGAAACTTACCAAAAGAATAAGAAATCAAGATAACATTTTTTAAAAATTAAAAGAATGGAAATGGTTTATTGAATATTTACAGATAAATTGTAAACAGATAAAAACATTGGTAGGATTATTGTAATAACCTGCAGTTTCATACCAGTATATATTTAAAGAAGATTAATAAATGAGCAAATTAGGTTAATTTGGATATGCAGAAGATATTAAAAATAAATTTAAGGAACCGCAGAAAGAGGAGGAAGGAAGTCAAACCTTGAAATGTCAAAATGATTCTAAAATTAGTGAAATGCATAAATGTCAAAAGGATTTTAAAAATATTTTTACAAAACAATTGATTGCCTTCTAAAACCACCGTCTCAAGGCAATTTATACAAAAAATGTTTTAAAAAGCAGTTATATACACAAAGGCAACAAATAAAAATAAGACTAAAACCGTAACAAGTGGACACCCATTATTAAAATTTATTTATCCAGCTGGAAAAGGTCCCAATTCCTGCCCCCAAGGGATGCCATTCCACAGAACACAGACAGTGACACTAAAAGCCCCATTCTGGGTCTGTGCTTTGGAGATCTTTGGAACTTGCAGGAGAATCTCTGCTGTATATCTGGGACTGAGCAGAACAGGGACTTGCATGTGAGTACAAACTCCTTGAACTCAGCCCAGTAGCAGATTGGTAGCAAGTGCAAATCCCACTAGCAGGCTGCTCTATGCTGGCAGTAGTTTCCTCCCACAAGCCTGACGTGGATGGCACTGCGGTCTAAACCACTGAGCCTCTTGGGCTTGCTGATGGGAAGGTTGGCGGTTCGAATCTGTGTGACGGAGTGAGCTCCTGCTGCTCTGCCCCAGCTCCTGCCAACCTAGCAGTTCGAAAGCACACCGGCGCAAGTAGGTAATTAGGTACCACTGTAGCAGGAAGGCAAACGGTGTTTCCGTGAGTTCTGGTTTCCGTCACGGTGTTCCATTGCGCCAGATGCGGTTTAGTCCTGCTAGCCACATGACCTAGAAAGCTGTCTGTGGACAAACGCCAGCTCCCTCAGCCTGAAAGCAAGATAAGCGCTGCAACCCCATAGCTGCCTTTGACTGGACTTAACTGTTCAGGGATCCTTTACCTTTTTTACCTTGCTCACACAAGCCACCTGGCTATTGCGTTCTGCACCAGCTACAGCCTGTGGCCCAACCTTCTACAATATCTCTTTGTACGGTGCATTGCAGTAAGCTAACCATGAGGGATGTGAACAGATCCCATTAATTTTTTCTAGTATAGGTGGGACTCATGAGGGTTTAAAAAAAAATTCATAAATATTTTATTTTTGTAAAGATTTTTTCTGTTTCATTTTATGATGCACATGAAACAGAGATAGCAGCTATAACTGTAGCGATCAGACGGGATTACTATGAGGAATGATAAAATATGCATCAAGCCATTGTGTCCGCGATGAAAGCATTGCGCTGACTGGGTTTGATTCATTGACAATAATTTCTGATCAAATCCCACAAGCCTCTACATCCACGCCATTTTTCTCTACTGCCATTTCTCTATGTCTGACAAGCACGTATAAGCATTCTAGGACACAGACCAGTTGCCGGTTGCTGCACCAGCCATCCTAGGCCATAATAGGTTACTTTGATGTAGTTTGTTAATCTTTAGATAGATCTTAGGGCCAGGAAGAGAGTTCAGGAAGAGACTTCACAAAGAGATGGTGAATACTACCCTTCCTTCCTTCCTTCCTTCCTTTACTGATCTGACTTTATCCCACGTGAGGTTTTTTGAAATGCTCAGAGGAAATCTGATAGGTTCTTATGAACACTGTGTAAAAAGTTCTTTTGTGAATAAAACAACCTGGGCCAAGGGGGGGGGGAGAGAATTATTATATGCACCCCTCCCAAAGTCTTGCTGGTCAAGCCTCGTGTGTATTTTATTAATCAGAGTCCAATCCTTCCTTGCTTTGGAAACGCTACATATAACAGCAGATGAAAATTAGGATATGAAAAGCAAAACTATAAAATAGGCACCTAGACTTGCACGTGGTTTCAAACAGCACAGTCCAAGTGAATAATATTGGCATTATCCGATGATCAAGTATATCTCTGGATTTGCCAAGCTTGTGACAACAGCTGTCTAGCAGATGATGTATACAGAATCATAGAACTGTAGTTATAAGGGACCCCAGGGTCATCTAGTCCAACCCCCATCAATGAAGTAATCTCGGCTAAAGCATCCATAGCAGAAGGCCATCCCACCTCTGCTTAAAACCTCCAAGGAAGGAGAGCCCACCTCCCACCGAGGGAGACTGTTCCAATGTCAAAACAGCTCTTACTGTCAGAAAGTTCTCCCAATACAATAATGGCTGTCCTGGGGGGACCAGAACACGATCATTGGTTTACTCTCTGTAGGAGTTATTTGATATGATTAAAGATCTTCTCACACTCCAACCCTTTCTAAGATGTTTCCCTTATAAGAGTTCTGTACTGTTTAGGAAGGGAGCCCCTGCCACTGAAGTTCTTTCCATACACCAAACATTTCTAAGATTTCCTCCCTGTATGAGTTCTTTGATGCGACTTAAGGGAGCTACTACGACTAAAGCTTTTTCCACACTCCAAACATGTATACGGTTTCTCTCCTGTATGAGTTCTTTGGTGCAACTTAAAGGCGCTATGGTGACTGAAGCTCCTTCCACACTCCGAACATGTATACGGTTTCTCTCCTGTATGAGTTCTTTGATGCGGCTTAAAGGCGCTATGGTGACTGAAGCTCTTTCCACACTCTGAACATGTATACGGTTTCTCTCCTGTATGAGTTCTTTGATGCGACTTAAGGGAGCTACTGCGACTGAAGCTCCTTCCACACTCCAAACCATGTATATGGTTTCCCTCCTGTATGAGTTCGTTGATGCAACATAAGGGAGCTACTGCACTGAAGCTCCTTCCACACTCTGAACATGTATACGGTTTCTCTCCTGTATGAATTCTTTGATGCAACTGAGTTGGCTACCACGACTGAAGCTCTTCCCACACTCCAAACATTTATAAGGTTTCTCTCCTGTGTGCAATCTTTGATGCAAGGTAAGGCTGCCACTCTGGCTGAAGCTCTTTCCACACTCGAAACATGTATATTGTTTCTCCCCTCTATGAATTCTTTCATGTGAGGAAAGGTAGTCAATGCGACTGAAGCTCTTGCCACATTCCCAGCATTTACAAGGTTTGCTGCTCGATGAGTTTGTTGATGTCTAGTAAGCGCATTGCTGCGAGCGAAGCTCATTCCACAGTCCAAACACATATGCGGTTTCTCCCCTGTATGAGTTCTTTGATGCGACTTAAGGGTGCTACTCTTACTGAAGCTCCTTCCACACTCCAAACATGTATACGGTTTCTCCCCTGTATGAGATCTTTGATGCGACTTAAGTGCGCTACTCTGACTGAAGCTCCTTCCACACTCTGAACATGTATACGGTTTTTCCCCTGTATGAAATCTTTGATGCAAGGTAAGGGCACCAATGTGACTGAAACTCTTTCCACACTCTGAACACGTATGCGGTTTCTCCCCTGTATGAGTTCTTTGATGCGACTTAAGTGCGCTACTCTGACTGAAGCTCCTTCCACACTCTGAACATGTATATGGTTTTTCCCCTGTATGAAATCTTTGATGCAAGGTAAGGGCACCACAGTGACTGTAGCTCTTTCCACACTCCAAGCATTTATACGGTTTCTCCCCTGTATGAGTTCTTCGATGCAACTTAAGGTTGCTAATCTGACTGAAGCTCTTTCCACACTCTGAACATGTATACGGTTTCTCTCCTGTATGAGTTCTTTGATGCGAGGTAAGCTGGTCACAACGACGGAAGCTCCTTCCACACTCTAAACATGTATACGGTTTCTCCCCTGTATGAGATCTTTGATGCAAGGTAAGCTGGCCACATTGACTGAAGCTCTTTCCACACTCTGAACACGTATATGGTTTCTCTCCTGTATGAGTTCTTTGATGCGAGGTAAGCTGGTCACATCGACGGAAGCTCCTTCCACACTCTAAACATGTATACGATTTCTCCCCTGTATGAGATCTTTGATGCAAGGTAAGCTGGCCACATCGACTGAAGCTCTTTCCACACTCAGAACATGCATAGGGTTTTTCTCCTGTATGAGATCTTTGATGCACGGTAAGGGCACCACAGTGACTGTAGCTCTTTCCACACTCCAAGCATTTATACGGTTTCTCCCCTGTATGAGTTCTTCGATGCCTAGTAAGCTTGCCACGTTCACTGAAGCTCTTTCCACACTCGGAACATATATATGGTTTCTCCCCTGTATGAGTTCTTTGATGCCTAGTAAGATGGCCACGTTCACTGAAGCTCTTTCCACACTCGGAACATATATATGGTTTCTCTCCTGTATGAGTTCTTCGATGCAAGATAAGGGCAGTACTGTGAATGAAGCTCTTTCCACACTCTAAACATGTATACGGTTTCTCCCCTGTGTGTACTCTTTGATGTCTAGTAAGAGTTGAGCGACGACCAAAACTCTTTCCACACACGCTGCATTCATGCTTTTTCTCCTCTCTGTGAATTTGATTTTCAACACCCTGAAACATACCAAAGTCACCCGCCGGCTTCTGCTTTTGTCTCCCCTCTCGCCTGCTACCTCCATCTTGAACCCTCAGATTCCTTTGTTCTTTGGATCCTTTTGGTGACATTTCTGATTGTTCCCCTTCTGCCAGCATCCCTTCAACAACTCCTGATGGAATAAAAAGGCAAACTGATGAAATGCTAAAGGTGCGTCTTCACCCCAATCATTCAGTCAGGACACCAAGATCCAGGTCCCAGGGCCTTGTGGCAGTTCCTTCACTGTGAGAAGGGAACTTACAGGGAACGAGGTAGAGGGGCTTCTTGGTAGTGGTGCCCACCCTGTGGAAAGCTATCCCGTCAGATGTCTAGGAAACAAACAACTATATAACTTTTAGAAGACAACTGGAGGCAGCCATGTAGAGGGAAGTTTAAAATGTTTTATTATGCTTTTATATTTGTTAGAAGCCAGCTAGAGTGGCTGGGGCAACCCAGTCAGATCCGTGGGGTACAAATAATGAAAGTATTAGTATTGCATTAATATGGTATTATTATTTATTGGGTTTATATACTGCCCTACACCCGGAGGACTCAGCATGGTTCACAGAAAAGATCACATCATATATAATCAGAATAAAACCCAACCCAATAACACCCCCAAAAAAAGAGCCACGTTTGAAAAAGACTATAGGATGTCAAGCATATCAAGCAAAAACCTGGTTGAAAAGGAACATGTTTGCATGGCACCTAAAGGTGTATACCCCTTCATGCATCACTGCCTTGTCGTAGCGAAGGGGCTTGAATAACTCGGCTATGACCTATGCATGCAGGGCCACCTAAGACAGACAGGTCAGCCGAGAGTTTAGACTAAATGTGATCCACCTGGAGAAGAAACTGGCAACCCACTCCAGTATTATGCCATGAAAGCTCCATGGACATAAAAAAGGAGAAGCTTTGAGAGGAAAGTGAGTTTCCAAGGCATGCTCTGATTCATGGGGAGTATAAGGAAGGCGCCAGGTGAACTTCCCTGGGGAGAGCATTCCACAGACAGGGAGCCACTGCAGAGAAGGCCCTGTTCTCGTGTTGCCACCCTCCAGACCACTTGAGGAGGAGGCCCACGAAGGAGGACCTCAGGATCTGGCTAGGTTCATATGGAAAGAAGCAGCCCTTGAAGTATTGTGATCCTGAGCCATGTAAGGCTTTATAGGTCAAAACCAGCACCTTGAATTGAGCCCGGAAACTAATTGCTAGCCAGTGCAGTCGGACCAGGATGGGGGTAATATGCTCAAACCGTCTTACTCCAGTGAGCAACCTGGCTGCTGAATTCTGCACTAGCTGAAGTTTCCAAACTATCTTCAGAGGCAGCCCTACGTATAACACATATCTAACCTTGAAGTTCCCGGAGCATAGACAATGGTAGATAGGCTATCCTTGTCCACATAGGGGTGTAGCTGGGCTACCAGCCAAAGGTGATGGAAGGCACTCCAGGCCATCTGAGCCTCGAGCAACAGCAAAGGATCCAGGATTACCCCCAAGCTACGAACCTGCTCCTCCAGAGGAAGTGTAACCCCATCAAGAGCAGGCGACCTTCCAGCCATCTGCTCTAGGGAACCACCCACTAACTGAGCCTCACTCTTATCTGGATTGAGCTTCAATTTGTTGGCTTTCATCCAGTCCATTACCGAGGCAAGACACTGGCGGGAGAGGGTGCTCAGGGGTGTTAGTAGTAGTAGTAATAAGTATTAGCCTGTCTAACTAAGGCCTCAGCCACACTTGGAATTTTAATGTGGACTTGAAGTTGCTTGTTTCTCCTTTTTTTAACCTCTTCTGCCCAGAACTGCAGAAACTGCTATATTTAATTGAAACACAAATGTTTTAAAATGTGTGTTGGTTTGCGGGGGGTTATTGGGTTGATTTTGTTTATGTTTTGATTGTGTACTTTGAGTTTTTATATTGCAATTTTATCCTGTGAACTGCCCTAAGGCCTGTGGGTATAGGGAGGTATACGATTTAATAAATTATAATAAAATCAGGCCGGATTAAAATGATTACAAGTTCCAGGGGCATCCCCAGCAGAAGGTTTCCCAATGCTTAAGGGTTTGCCTTGACCCCAAGCCCTATGGGGAGCCCAAGGAAGGTCCCCCACCTGCCCAAGTTGGCCTGCAGGGAGGAGAGGAGGAGAAAGATCCTCCCTTCCATTGGGAAAAGATGTCCTACCCCATACAAAGGGGGAAAGCCATATAAATGCATTATTTTAGCGGAATTAAATTGAAAATGCATTAATTATGGGAAATGTAAATATTTGGGGAAATACCCTTTGCAAAAGCGTGAGCATTAGGCGAGATCTGCACCAAAATGCTGAACAATTTTCAAGAGATCTTTAAAAATGTGAAAATCTGGATAAACTGACGACTAGAAAAAAGAGACAAAGAAAAAAACTTACATTGAAACGGTTTGCCTAACAGGGTTTTTTTTAAAAAAAATCCCTCCCCACAACTCCCTCCAGCAGCACCCCCACTCCACCCCCCCGTAATAATATATAACAATATGACCCACCTCCAGCGCCTCCGCGAGGAAGGAAAGCCGCCGCCATGACCGGCATCTGCCACCCCGCCAAAAGCGGGACAGGAAGCGGAAGCTGCTATTCTCCCGACAGCCTTTTTTTTCTTCCGCTCTAGGAATCTCAGCTCTGTCGCCGCTGCTCTTAACCGTTTCGGAGCCGAGCGGCAGGAGCCTCTGGGATTCTCCGGGCAGAAAGCAGGAGAGGCGCTGGTCTCGCCTCCGGAAAGCCCCGCTGGATCAGCTGCACGGGCGCCCCAAAACGTTTTCTAAACTATTTTTTTAAAAAAATATATTTTCTAATTTTCAATTTTCAAAATAACATTTTTTTTTGGTACACAGATATCCAATCCAAATTTGCAATAAATGGCTTTTCCCCTTGCCCCCCTGGTTTCCATTCCCCCCCCCCCTTTATTCACCTTGCATATAATTATATTTCTTAGCCAGTCATCTAGTCATCCATTCTTCTTTCGTTGGGACCTTTCCTTCTTTCCACATCTGGGCTAGTAGCATTCTGGCTGCTGTAGTCGCATCAGTGGCGTAGCGTGGGTTGTCAGCACCCGGGGCAAGGCAAGTAATTTGCGCCCCTAACCCCTAAGCTGCCGCCGCTGCCAGCTTCTTCTTGCTGCTGCCTGGGCTGCAGCCATGGGGCTCTGCTACAGCCTGCGCCCGAGGCTCTTTGGCGACTCTGGAGGCGGCGAGCGCCCCCCCCAGATGTTGCGCCCGACCCCCCCCTGCATCCCCCACACTACGCCACTGAGTCGCATAAATAAACAGTCTCTTCTGCTTCCTTGGCAATTCTTCTACTATTACTCCTAATAAAAACCTCTGGTTTTTTTTAACAAACGTAATTTTAAGAATTTTAAAAAGTTCATTGTGTATCATTTCCCAGAAGCCCTTTACTTTTTTACACGTCCACCACATATGAAAAAATAGTTCCTTCCTTATCCTTACATTTCCAGCATAAATTAGAGATCTCTTTATACATTTCAGCAAGCTTTACTGGAGTCAAATACCATCAGTATATCATCTTCATATAATTTTCTTTTAATGAACTACATGCCGTGAATTTTAAAATCTCTT